TATATATATATATATGTATCTATGTACTAATTGTATATTCAAAAATGGTATGCATATGGAAAATCTCAAAGGAAGGGAAGCAAGGGAAATCTCAACAAGTGAGGCAACATAAAAAGCTTGAGTGGCTTCAGTTTAACAAACAGTAAAGGAGGCCATAGATATGAGGTCATTTAAGCCCAGTCTGGTGATTTCAGAAATTCTCTAGTCTCACTGACTTTACCAGACTATGGCACATAATTGAAAATTTGGGTAACAACAATTTAAATATTTACAGTATAGCAGATCATAATTGTTTTCCCTGAGATAAACCAACAGCAAAGGTTTATGATCACACTCCCCCAGTAAATAAACATACATAGTCAAGAGATCCACAGGAACAGTGCTTTTGCTTTGAATCTGCCGTAAGGTAAACTGTTTCATGAATTTAGGTGCAACAGAGACCACTGAGCTTAACTTGCATGTTTAAATTAAGAAAATAATAAAAAAGAATAATAATAATAAAAAAAATAAAAAAAATAAAAAAAAAAATAAGAAAATAATACATTGTTAATCTGTATCTGTGGTCACAGCAGCAGAGATTAATCATCACTAAAGTGTTCCATGGTGCATGTAACCAAGTTCAAATTCAATTTAAATGCAAAGCAAATTATCTTGACAATGTCAGCACTTTCTTGACAGTGTTTAAAAGCAAAAGACAGGATTGAACACCCATACACTAAAACACAACCAGCTTAAGCAGTTCAAGTACAAAAAAACAAAACATCTAACAGGATCAAAAAACCTGCTTAGCCCTTGAACTGCACAGCCTATTACCGAGCCCAAATAAGTAAGCCAATGTCATCTAATTTAATCATATCATAAAAAAGCCCATCTACAGTAGACTATGATTCCACAATACAAATCTGTGAGTCTAGGTTTGAATCATATTATTTCATACAATATCCATAAATTGTGGAATGATGGAGCTACATTGCTAACAAGTGCCACCCTACACAAACATATAGGAGAATTACAATCAGATCAATATCAAATATGTCTATGCTACAATGCCCAGGAGGCGAATGAGACATATTACGTTCCCTGAGGAGAGTAGGCATAAGATTAATATCATGTTTCATATCTATCAAATTGTGATTTTATACTATGCATTAATAAGTTGGCTGTTGGATTTCAACGCATGGTTATATGTAAATATTAATACTGTTAAAAAAAGTAGCAATGAGGAAGGTTCTGCTGAAATATCATAAACACTCCTACATCACACCCCTCAGCTCTCTGTTGTGGGTGAGGATGTACTCAGTGCCTTTGGCAGCAGTGGATTTTGGGACTGCCACTGTCACACCAAGAACTCCTTGATGACATAGACCCCCTTTATCCCTGGACCATAGCTCCTGCAGACCATTGATAGCCAATACTCACCAGACTGATGCCGCCGATGGACCCCACAAAAAGTACCCCCCAATCTCCCTTTCTCTGCTATTCCTTAGCATACTCCCATGCCCTTTGAAATGATGACCTTTATCACTAACACCCGTCCCCACCCCCCTGCACACACATACAGACACACACAACTATATACGGTCTATATGCATGCTCACGCTATATCATACACACACATATATTTCACAATGGGAAAGAAAAGGATCATGCACCCTGGGATTATGTGTGTCCCCCAAGGCAAAATGGAGGCTGTATGATATAAACGTTATAAATAAAAAGAGGTGAAAATGCACTGAAGGACTAACCACTCTAAAATGGTGAAAAACATAAATTACCAACTACTCACATTACAGAAATTGTTTTCATTTTCAATTTTTTTGAACACCACAATTACAAAATGCTTTCTACTTCCACTACTATTACTTATAGACCATAGAAACAAATCTAAAATACCAAAAATAAAAAGACAAGAAAAAAGGACAAAATTACAAAAACCATCAATATCATTCATGAATGGCTTATTATAAAGCTACAGCAAATTTTAGCTTTCAAAGTATTTTATTAATTTTCCAAAGTACAATAAAACAATAAAATAGCACATGATGCACAATCAGTATAGCATACAATTGCATTACAGTTTCTTCCACATTAGCATAGTCAAGTAGTAGGAGGGGATCACTAGAGGCCATACACACAATATATAATAGTTCTGTACAACAGAACATATCTATCCACCTATTCTTGCCAATTTATCCCCCATCACCAAAATCTAAAATCAGAACAGTCTGAGAGGAATATCTGGCCTAGGGATCCGCCTATGTCTGAAGCAAACATTTGTTATGATCTTCTCCATATCCATATCAATAGAAGACTTTCTGTCCAACATCTATGTACTAAACGGCTCACATGTGCGAGCATAAAGAAAAAAAAAACAGACAAAAAGAGGAAAAGGAAATAGATACTAGAGGAAGCAGAACAGCTTAAGAGTCCGAAAAGAGTAGCTCCATCCCCGACCAAATAGCCCAACATCTACTTAAACCTTAAACATAGTCCCCAGAGAAAAATTCCAGAAAAGTTGTACAATGAAAATTACCCGGTTTCCAGCACCCCTGTATATAACAACCAGGGGGTCCAGGTCAATTCAAAACTTTTTTTATTATCTTGGAGGATGCTGTGAAGTTTCTCATGGACCATAATCCACGACATTTTTTGTTTGACCAAGTGGAATGGAATTGTTGGTGTTTTCCAAGCCCTAGCTATGGTTATTTTGGCTGCCAACAGAAAGAAAGTAATTAATTTATCCAAAGCTTTAGACAGTCCTGGAATAGGGCAATTCAGCAACACATATTGGGGATCTCGTGGGACTCTCACCCCAGTAACCCCTAAATATTAGAGCATAAACCCCTAAATATTAGAGCATAAAGCATAAAAAAGCTCTCAATTTGGGGCATTCCCACCATATCTGATATATTGTGCCCGAGTGTGCACATCCCCTAAAACAATGAGGAGAAACCTCTGGGTATATTCTCGCTAGTCTGGCAGGAACCATATACCACCTAGATAAAACCTTATAATTAGCTTCTATTAGTGAAATATTAAGTAAACCTGATGACACACTGGAACAACATTGATGCCAGACCTCCAGAGGAATAACCTTTTCCAGGTCTTGTTCCCAAGCTAACATATAGGGTAATTTACTTTCAAAATCTACGAGGAGGGAATAGAGCAGCGAAACTCCCCCCCCTCTGGCCCCCGGCTCCAAGACACCACTGTTCGTAGGTTTTTCTAAAGGGAGACATCACGTTAGGTGTTTTCAAAGAACCTAAAAAGTGTAAAAATTGTCTGTAATGAAAGTATTCCAAAGATGGCATGTGCAAAGCCTCCCGACAGTAGGTCAAAGTAAGTGGCTTGAGACCTTTAAAGAATTGTGCTATGCAGTACAGACCTTTGTCTTGCCACCAATGGAACGCTCCAGGAGAGCTACAGCAAATTTTAAGCATAAACTGTCACTAGGTGGGGACCCAAATCTGCTAAAGGAATTCCAGTGGTAGGATATAGTGTAACACTAATAAAGATCTCCTCATGAGTAAATTATGTATGGTCTAGGGCTGTGGTTCTCAACTGGTGGGTCGTGACCCAAAAGTGGGTCATGCCCCATGTTTAGTGGGTCTCCGCATGCCTTCCACTGCACTAGGTGAGCGCAGAACTGTCAGCTCTCGTGCCGAGCAGCCATTCAAAATGTGCTTCCTGGCACTGAGTGCCAGCTTGAGGTGGGGTGGACTGGGGGTATGGCTGCAAGGGAGCTCCATCCATACATCCATTGCTTACAGCTCCCTCGTGTGACCTGGGTGACATCACATTCTGGCTTCCAGCACCTCTACAGGGAGTGCAAGGGAGCTGTACAAGCAATGCAAACTACCACGCAATCACACCTACTGTTAATTTTGGTGTGGGAGGTGCATTGTGTTGCCATTCATTTGAATGGCACACCAAACACAACTCCCACCCACAGTTTGATCTCTTGCACCGAATATGCGGTACCGCAATGTCGTGCGTTCCAGTGTGGTGCGACTTGGGTCACGACTTAATGATGAAGGACAAATGTGGGTCCTGAGGCTTTACAGGTTGAGAACCACTGGTCTAGGGCACCTACAAAATCTTGGTCCAAATGTCATGATAGCATCCTGGGTATTTCTTTTTGTGGGATAGCAATTAGGTGCCCCAAATATTGGCACATGTCATTGCTGATACAGCCATACACAATAATACATAATGTTGATAGCATACTCTGAGCAGTCTCTGCATTACTGTAGAACAGTTTGAAATGATCATGAAAAGCTCTGATTGCTTACTTTCCTTACAGAAAAATGGTAATGTATAACTCATGACCCACTATAAAAAAAAAAGTCAGTGGGTTATATCTAATTGAGTTTTCCAGAGCGTGATTCAATCTATTTGTGTAAAGAATTGTCTGGAGGTCTGCAAATTCAAAATTAAAAAAAAGATGGTTTAGGACTGATAAAAGTAATTCACTTATGTATTTCAGCTACTACTTCATTATAAACTGTAAGAGTTAATTTATTGAGCATGGGGCTCCACCTTATTTGTATTTTTTGTTAATAGTTTTTTTGTTTTTTTCTGGAATTTGTTTATTTGGATGATCAGTAAAAAAAAAATTCAAAAAGAAAATGTATTGTAGTTGTTTTCTATTTATCATTTTACCTTGCTTCATTTAAAGATGTTGTCTGCAGTGTGTGGTCAGTCCTTCGGCCCTTTCTGCTCTTGTTGTTTTAATTTCATTTCAATGACTTATACTCTATAATAAGTGATGTATGTTGTGTGTTCTCTAGAACTGTATGTCAGATACCTGTAGCTGTACAGATAGCGAGGAGTGCATGTGTGCTGCCCTCTCGTCTTACACCTTTGCATGTGCTAAAAAAGAAGTCTTTGTCACGGGCTGGAGAGACAATGTGTGCAGTAAGTATTATACTCTTATCACATAATTTTTATTTAAAATTCTGTCACACAAAATGTATCTATCGTGATTTTTGTAGTTCTAATTAAACCATTTCTAAACACAGCATTGCATTTCAGCCTCCTTCTTAGATACCTAAAAACAAGTTCCCCTTTAAAACGTTTTTAAAGGGGAACTTTACACTTTTCTTACAATGACTTCAAAGGCACCTTTTGAGATGTTTAGTAATGACAATCCACAAACATATACTTATAGATAATTGCAGGCTTTTTTTATTTGCATATCCCAATTTTTTTTCCCTTCCCATTCTTCTTACAATGGCCATTTTTACAAAGGGCAGATTATTCCATCTACCTTTACTTCCTGGATCTGTGGCATATGTGACTAGAACATGTGACTGCACACATTATCTCCGGGGAGAAAAAATGCCTTTCCCTGAGATTTTCCAGCAATGCACTGCTGATGTATACGAACAGACCGCACTATCCAGAGAATTCCAATACCGCAGACTTTATTAAAATTCACAGCAAATCCAGTATATCAGTGAAAAAGTGTATAAAGCTACAAATGCCAGCACTGCACACCCCCAACCAACTACAACCTCTCACATGTTTCACCCAAAGGCTTATTCCCAACAATCACCAAAAAGATCCTAAAGTTAGGATTTAGAAACACATGCTGTGTGTTTACATTAGAGGAGTGGTAGGCTTATGACACAATAGAAAATACCAGGAAAAAACTAAGGTTTCAATGCCTCTGTTTAAGCTTTGAGGGTAAACTTCTCTGAAATATTCACAGTATAGCTTCAAACCTAAGTGTAAACTTGCATATGAATGTGTAGCTTAATTGTATTATCACCTATTCTATCCATTGATTCTTACAGAAAAATACATGCAGGCCTGCAAAGAATCCCAGGTATACCGCTATCATGTCAATCAGCCCCAGCCTACATGTCGATCCCTAAGTGAGGCAGATTCTACAAGAAACACTAAGCTTGTTCCTGTAGAAGGCTGTGTGTGTCGTGATGGCACCTATATGAACGACAATGGAGAATGTGTAAAGGCCAGTTCCTGCCCCTGTTACTACCAAGGCAATGTCATTCAGTCTGGAGAAATTTTTGAGGAAAATGGAGTTGCTTGGTAAGAATTTAATTTTAAATTATAGATATATATTTAGAGAGATTTAAAATAGAATTATGGCCTCTTGTTGAAAAATATATTTACTGTATATGTGCTACAGCACTTTAATAAACAGTAAGTGCATCTGCTCTTATAGTTTCCTCCTATTCCCCATGTACAGTCCCACAAAAGCATGTTTAACCTGCCAGTGAAATCCACCTCATACAGTAGTTTTTGTGTGTGGTAATAATACTGAATGGCTCCTGAATTAAGAGCAGAATCACCACTCCCATGTAGGCTGTGCCTGCTTGCACTACAATGGAATGCGAAAATGATGCAGGTGGCATGGCTATCTGCATTCTCATTGCTGATTCACAATCCTGTAGCTTGTCCGTCAGCACCTGACCACACCTAGTCCTGCCCACTGCTTTCTGGACTGAGAGCTCTGTTACAGAAACCCTCCCACTGTGGGCTGCAGTGCCTTGTAGGGGGAGCATGTGAAGCAGAAAAAATAGGATTTGGCTCAGTCAGGGAATGTAAAGATTTTTTTTAGTTTACTTTATGATGCTTGTTCATCACATAGTACTTGGATTAGGACTTCTTTAGATCATGCATGAGTCTTTAGTTGTGCCTTTTTGCAGACAGAATGTTGATAGGATACAGTAAATATTTTATGTGGAAACATACCAAGCTCAGAAATGTCTTAAATAGCAAAGAATCTAAGTAGAAGCTATAGCTCAGTCAGTATAAGGCATAACAACTGAAACATGTTTTAGTACTACACACTAAGAATTTAGGGAATGAACAAGGCGTAAAGCGTATTTCCACTTTTGCAGTCAAATTTTAGAAAACCCCTCTAAACGTTTGTTATGTGTTCCTATTCACACAGTATGCTAAAAAAAAATGTAAATGAACTCCAGGAAAACGTTTTTCTAAACCCTTGCAGTGGGTCTACCCCCACACTGCGAGGGTTAAGTACTCATTTTTGTCTAGGTTTAAAAAGAACAAAGCTATACTCACATGAAGCTCAGAGCCGGCCAGCTGTCACAGCGCTCTCTCCAGCCTGTCTCCTCCGCTGCAGCAATGGAATCTTCCTTAGCATCCCCACATACATTATACTTTACATTGTGTATAGATGTGATGATTTATGGGACCTTAGACCGCTGCAAAGCAGAAGGAGAGAGGCTCTAGGGGCTGGTCTAAGAACAAGCCAGCTCAGAGCTTGGGTTGAGTATATATACATATATATATATTTTTTAAAACCAAGAATAAAATGAACACATAACCCCTGCAGTGAGTGGTAACTCTACTGCAAATGTTTAAAAAAATCCTGAAGTTCTTCTTTAAAAAATATTTCTAACACATTAGATGTTTTGTTGTAGCAGGCAACATGGCTGAATCCAGGTTTATTTCAGCAGCCTCACAGAGATCTGAATGCAGAAGCCAGGGTTGTAATCCAAATTAATACAAATTATAATTAAATCACTCAGCATAGCACAGATAGGGTTAACCAAACCCTCACACCTCACAGTCCCTCCTAACTTTGCAAAGAAAGAGAAGCCAGTAGAAATTTTAACCCTTAAGAAGCCAAGGAACTCTAACCCAAGTTAAAGCAATTTAAACTGCAAGAAGCAATATGTAAACTTTTTCAACGTATTCCTATGTAAATGGGAATATACAACAAATATAAAATATGTGTTATCCCAAATTGTCTGCAAAAGTGGAAATATACTTTAACCTGACCACAAGGAATTATTCTTGTCTATCAGGACTATCAAACCCATGCACAATCATCCTATAAGGTGACCCTTACATCCACTGGACAAGCCATGGTAACTGAGATGCTTATAGAGTTGTGCAACAGATTCTTCCATCTAGACTTAACTGTGTGGATGGAGTAATCTCCACCTGGGCCAATCTGTTGCACTTTTTCCATCTGACCACAGAAAATCTGCAGATAAATTGTAAGATGTATGGCCACCTTTAGGCCCCATTCACACTGAGCGACAGGAAAATCGCGCGATTTTGAGCGATATTGCGTGATGAGCGATATTGAGCGACTTGTTGCACGATTTTTGCAGCGATATCGCTCATATTTCCACGCGATATCGCTCTATGTAGCTTCTCCAATCCATTTCAATGGAGCTGTTCACATCTCGTCGTTCAATATCGCTCAATATCGCTTGTAGCTCGTCGCTGGTAGCTTGTCGCTCCTACATGACCCTTTTTCGAGCGATTTCGAGCGATTTTGCTCCTGATTGCATACAGCCCAATAGGAAAAAGTCAAGTCGCTCAATATCGCTCAATATCGCTCGTCGCGCAATATCGCTCAAAATCGCGCGATTTTCATGTCGCTCAGTGTGAATGGGGCCTTAGGCAGGCCAGGGGCGGTCTATGGCCACTTAATTCAGAATCCACCTAACTATTTTATAAGATGCAAGGCTTTCTCATTCTTGGAGATGCTCAGTCGAATGAAGTTTGGTTTGCAGATTTAGTGGAAAGTGCACAGTTTATTAGACATGTGCACTGCCAAAAAATTAGTTTAGTTTCGTTTCGTTTTAAATTCGGATTTGTGTTATTTCGTTTTTCAGGATTCGGGTGTGAAAGTCAATTCGGATTCGGAATTCGGATTCGGACGAAATTCGGTAGCGTTAGTACGAACGTTCGTTTCGTTTTCTGTTCTTATTCGTTTCTTATTCGTTTCGTTCGTTCGTTTGCAGCAAAAGTGACATTTGAGGGGGAAAAAATATTTTTCTCCTTCTCTAATGTCACTTTGCTCCAACGAACGAAACGAATAAGAAACGAATACGAAACGAATAAGAACAGAAAACGAAACGAACGTTCGTACTAACGCTACCGAATTTCGGAAATGGAAATTCGGATTCGTTTGCATTCGTTATGTCTGTAATTCGGAATTCGGATACATCCGAATGTCCGAATTTCCGAAAATTCGTCCGAATTTCGATTCGGAACGAAACGAATCGCACATGTCTACAGTTTATTAGCTGCCACAATTCATGACACTTACCAACATTGAGATCTAACATTTTAATAAAGACATGTAGACCTTCCACTTTATGTGACTGATTTCTACTGTAGGGTTGAATAATAACTCATATAATTAAAATGTGTATGTGGCTTTATACCTACAGTACCTGTGACAAAGGCCAGCTAAACTGTATGGGCAGTGACTTAACTGTGTGGATGGAGTAATCTCCACCTGGGCCAATCTGTTGCACTTTTTCCATCTGACCACAGAAAATCTGCAGATAAATTGTAAGATGTATGGCCACCTTTAGGCCCCATTCACACTGAGCGACAGGAAAATCGCGCGATTTTGAGCGATATTGCGTGATGAGCGATATTGAGCGACTTGTTGCACGATTTTTGCAGCGATATCGCTCATATTTCCACGCGATATCGCTCTATGTAGCTTCTCCAATCCATTTCAATGGAGCTGTTCACATCTCGTCGTTCAATATCGCTCAATATCGCTTGTAGCTCGTCGCTGGTAGCTTGTCGCTCCTACATGACCCTTTTTCGAGCGATTTCGAGCGATTTTGCTCCTGATTGCATACAGCCCAATAGGAAAAAGTCAAGTCGCTCAATATCGCTCAATATCGCTCGTCGCGCAATATCGCTCAAAATCGCGCGATTTTCATGTCGCTCAGTGTGAATGGGGCCTTAGGCAGGCCAGGGGCGGTCTATGGCCACTTAATTCAGAATCCACCTAACTATTTTATAAGATGCAAGGCTTTCTCATTCTTGGAGATGCTCAGTCGAATGAAGTTTGGTTTGCAGATTTAGTGGAAAGTGCACAGTTTATTAGACATGTGCACTGCCAAAAAATTAGTTTAGTTTCGTTTCGTTTTAAATTCGGATTTGTGTTATTTCGTTTTTCAGGATTCGGGTGTGAAAGTCAATTCGGATTCGGAATTCGGATTCGGACGAAATTCGGTAGCGTTAGTACGAACGTTCGTTTCGTTTTCTGTTCTTATTCGTTTCTTATTCGTTTCGTTCGTTCGTTTGCAGCAAAAGTGACATTTGAGGGGGAAAAAATATTTTTCTCCTTCTCTAATGTCACTTTGCTCCAACGAACAAAACGAATAAGAAACGAATACGAAACGAATAAGAACAGAAAACGAAACGAACGTTCGTACTAACGCTACCGAATTTCGGAAATGGAAATTCGGATTCGTTTGCATTCGTTATGTCTGTAATTCGGAATTCGGATACATCCGAATGTCCGAATTTCCGAAAATTCGTCCGAATTTCGATTCGGAACGAAACGAATCGCACATGTCTACAGTTTATTAGCTGCCACAATTCATGACACTTACCAACATTGAGATCTAACATTTTAATAAAGACATGTAGACCTTCCACTTTATGTGACTGATTTCTACTGTAGGGTTGAATAATAACTCATATAATTAAAATGTGTATGTGGCTTTATACCTACAGTACCTGTGACAAAGGCCAGCTAAACTGTATGGGCAGTGTCAGGAAAATACCAGGTAATTTTATATCACATGCTCCTTGTCATTAAGGGTTTGGTCATACCAAAAGCATTGGGTTGTTTTGCCAAATGCAGTCTTAACACAAGAACAAGGCAATTTGCCTTATTTTCTATGGTTTCAATTTGCACCAATGTTCTTGCATTTTTGTGTAAGCTGAGTTAGAGCTAAAGCTCCCAAATCATCACTAAGCATGAGCTTTGCAGATTGAAGAAATAAACAGTAGGTCTGATTAGCAGTGTGCATGCTTCCACATAGAGAACAGGCCAAGGGTGCTTTTCTGCAGCATGCTGGCAGACCCTTACCTACTCAAGCTGCTTTCTAAAGTGTTCACAACTGCAAAACTTTCAACACCTGTTTATGCACCTTATTATTTATAACAGGCATTAGGGACGAGGTTCATGTTTGCTGCTGAGTTGGGGTTGCGGCAAACTTTGCATTTTGGTCATTCACCAAAATGGAGAACTTAAAGAAGACTCCAGACAAAAGTGTTCCTAACCCATGCAGTGGGGCTACCCGCGCACTTGAAGAGTTAACTGCATTTTTGTCTAGGTGCTAAAAGAAGGGGGGAAAAAAGGTGTACTCACCCGAATCACCAAGCTGGCTGCCTGTTTCTCCGGTCACTGTAGCCTCTCTCCTACTATACTGCAGCACTGGAATGTTTCTCAATGTCCTCACATGTATATACTGTGCATAAAACGTAATGGTTTATGGGACTTTAGACTGCTGCAGCGGAGTGAGCGAAAGGGTCCATGGACCAGTCTCAGGTGAATATAGTTTTTACTTTTTGAACTTAGACAAAAATGGGCATTTAACCCTTGCAGTGCGGGGATAGCCCAACTGCAAGGGTTAAGAGTTTTGCTTTATGGACAATTTTGCCAGCCACTAGGAGTGAACCCGACCTCCTGCAGGAAAGTAAAACATTTAGCAGCGGTATTACTATCACTGCTAAATATAATAGCTTTCCATCAGGCAGGTTGTTAGGTAGTCATCAGTCACTGGTGTCCTAACAAACTATGAGTCATCCTGCCTGACTCAATCAGTTGTCAGCCAGGTTGAAAAAGTTTAAATAAATATGGGGTTTTATTTAATAGGGTTTCCCCTATATTCCATAACAAGCCCTTCAGGTTTGGTATGGATTGTAAAGAGGACTCCAAGCAAAAAGAAAAAAAAAAACAACGTGGCGTCCCCATCAAATAAAACTCAATAACTGTCAATAACTTACAGTACTTTACATTGATATCAGTTCCTGCCCTCAAGATGCTAAAGGTCCCTATTACACATACTACATCAAGACAGGAAATAATTAGCCTACCAGCATGTTGTTGGAGTATGGGAGGAAACATACATTGCCTCTTGCAATTAATCTTACTTACTTGGCTGAAATCAGCTCATTGCACAATCTTGATATGCCTTGGTGCCAGGTGAATTAACTTTCGAGTACATACTTGGTAATTATGTCTTCCTGGGCCAAACCTAGCCTATATGGCCAAACCCAGAAGAAGACCAAGCGAAGCTGTTGGCACTGGAGAGGAAGCTCACTGATGTTTCATCTCTGAATTGGAGGTATGTATAGTTCCATTTTAAAAGATAAATAAAGTCAAACTTTTTTTGGGGGGCTAAACCTTTCTTTTGGATCACAGGAGTAAATTAACTAATGTACTTTTGAGACCCAAATTCAGCAAATAGGGGGTTTAGCCCACCATCAGCTGAAAGCATGGAGTCCTGCCTCAGTTGAGAAGAATCCCAACAACATTGTCTGGTTCTCTCCAGCCTGTCTGACTAACAGCTGCATATGGCCAGAGCCAACTGTGTTCACCTCCTCCCCAGCCTGTAGCTGCAGCCCACCCTGGAGGAATATTGATGAGAGGAAATCCCTGCAGGGTGGGTGACTGACAATAAATGCTCTGCGCTGGGAACAGAGGCTGAGAGCTGACTGATCAGAGGTCATGTTATCAGTCAACTCTTGAGTCTTATAGCAAGCATGGGACAGCTGCCTGCAGCATACCACATTGGCTCCAAGTATATTTTACTCTCCCCATATGTGTTCTTTAAGTTAAGTGTTAAAGAATGAGCAATGGGAGAGCTAAAATACATCAGCCTAAGGGTTATTTTATGGTTAGGTATCAGGAAGTACACTTTTGTACGCATTTGTTCACAGTGCCAAATCCCTGCACCACAAACTACCAACTCTCAATGCTACAAACCAACTTATTGATAAAAAGCTTACAGAAGTTCTACCGCTTTACCACTATACAAAACCGAAAACGTGGTGTACTGGAGTTTCACTTTAATGTTATGCCTATTATAAGGACTGTTTTGTTATTCATTTTTTTTCAAAGGCATTCTAATTAATATATTTTATGATCGCTATTTCACCATGCTGATCTTATGGATTAACTTTAATTTCTTTTCATTACTAGTTTGCAGCCACCCTTTGATTTATCTTAATTGCTCCACTGCACCAATGGGAAGTAAAGGAGTGGAGTGTCAGAAAAGCTGTGATACACTGGACATGGACTGTGTAAATAAATATTTTAATTTACCATAATATAGCATACTAAGTCTTTTTGCAAATAGTCCTTCACTTTCTATTTAAAGGAGAATTATGAGGCGAGTGATTTTCATTAGCCTCATAATCTGAGCCGACCTTTGACAATTAAACTGTCACATGTCGGTTCAGTGCATCGGGAAGTGAGCAAACACATACCGTTGCTCGCTCACTTCTCGATCTATCCCTGCAGAGAGCCGTGACTGTCACTCACGGCTCCCTGCAGGGGTCCCCCCCCCCACCACCCCTGTCTGATCCTCCAGCGCTGATGAAGCAGCGGACGAAGCGGACGCAGCTGTCAATCCCGCAGCTGGGTGGATCCAGACAGTATTATCAGGATCCGTCCTAGCTTCGGCGTCTCAGTATACCACGAGTTGTGGCTCGCGGTATACTGAGCTTTGGGTCACGGGAGCACACTAGTTTGTGTTCTCCCGTGACCCTTAGGAGAACTATGTGGAAAAGCCCTGACCCCATAGTTCTCCTTTAAAGAACTCAAGGCAAAACACAATATTTTTAGTCATAAATATTCATATTTTCTCTTTTGTGTGCCACGTGGGAGAAATTAATGTCCTATTAATTTGTATGCAAGAAATAAAGCCTATCTCGGACAGCTTTATGTTCTATTTACAAATTGAAGCTGGTAGGAAAAGTTACTGCTGCAGGTCATAATGAAAACAGTTAATGTTCCTAACTCAATGTTATATGAGCTTATTAGTATTTTTTACCTGAATGGAGTTTTCCTTTATTTAAAGCAGGCCAGTACTAAGAGATAAATATGCTGCCTTTGCTGACCTCTGCATCTGAAAAGGCTAATCATCTGGCTGTCATGCTGATTCTTTGTCTATACTTAATAAGTATATGATTGGCACAGGTACAAAGATCAGGAGCTGTGACTGTGGTCTCCCTTCACTTGAAGCATGTTTGTTCCAGTTTGGTGGCTCAGATAGTAGTGAAGCCAGATGTTCACTACTATCAGCCAGGCAGCTAGTATTTTCAGAAGAAGATCAACAAATAGCAGTCCCTATACTTGTCTAAGTAGATTACAATTACCATAATGAGCTTTTCAGCATATTGTTTTTTTTTTCTTTGTTTATGTGAAATTCTCTTTTGTTCTTCCACAGTACAGCTCTCAGTGCATTTCGGGCTGTGTGTGCCCTAAAGGTTTGGTTTATGATCGAGAGGGAGGCTGTATCTCTGAAGATCAATGTCCATGTATCCACAATGAAGCTCAATACAGACCAGGGGCCACTATCTCTGCAGCTTGCAATACTTGGTACAGCATTTTAATTCCTGTTTATGGTGCAAACTGTTATTGTAGCTTTTCTCAATGGCCAGAATAAAGCCACGTTCTCACAGCATCTGATATTTTCAGCAGTTGAATAAGGCTAGTCACCACTAGGGCACAGAGAGAACAATTATTTTCTATGTGCCCTGTTCACACTACAATGCAGGTGTGAAATGCAGAGCAGTGTACTGCGAAAAATGCAGACTTTGTACATGCCAAAATAAAGTTAACAAAAAGAAAAAGTAAACAGTGTGAAGCACTAAGACAGCGCATCAGACTGCACATCCTCCAGACCTGTCAGAACACACTAGCCCCTGTGCTAAAAATGGAACGTTTAAGAACCGCTTTACGCTTTGACATACCTTCTTTGGACCTCGATCCTTAGGGGCAGTATCATCACCAGCTGAATCAGCGTAAACCACAGACAGCCTAACTCTCCAATATGGCACAGAAGCTTACTCCAACATAGTTTTACTTATAAGAGAACTTTACAGAGGATTTTTGCTGGTCATTTAAAGTGTACCAAGGCAATGATCTTGCAAGTGTAGTGTCTGCGATGAAGGCTAGCAATAAACTGTGGGAACATGGAAGAAGACGGAAGGGTCTATCTAAGACTTTACCAACTAACAGGAGGGGAGAACAGCAGGAAATACCAAATGTAAACAGAAAAACAAGTTGTAGCAGCACTAGTTTACCACTATATGTCAGGCATATACCACAACATAATAATATGCAATGCAAAACATAGCTATATAGCAGCAATAGAAGGAAAAACTGTGGCTGTGGCTGCATGGGATGGCTTGTGTGAACAGGCCCTCAATGTTCCTAAATTCTTAGTATTTTGCATAAGTAAGTTTGTATGGAAATGCAGAAATATCCTACCCTATTCAAACTAGAATAGTCCTTAGAATACTTAGAATACTTAAAAGCAAACTGTTACCACAAGCACACCCTATGCCCTAAAAATACAATAGATGGAGAGCATCACCCTATAACAGGAAGTGCTTGAACAAGGACCTTCATGGCACGATCACCAGTTATTATTTTAATGAAATATACAGATTTAAATATATGTTAAAAAAATTCAAAGATATATAAGAATTTTAAAGATTATCAGGGTTGTTCACAAAAGGGTGAAGAGTTTGCAGAAGGCAGGAGAAGTGAACAATCTAGGACAACATAGCTGAACTAGAAAGTGAGCTGAATTGGAAAATTGTTCCAAATCAGCTATGTTGTCCTAGATTGTTCACTTCTTCTGCCTTCTCCAAACTCTTCAGCCTTTTGTGAATAATCCTGTATATGCAAATTTAGAGATTGGGTTTATATAAACGTTAGTAATTACAAAGATAATAATAATTAATGATAATAGACTGGAATTAAATTGCAGCGTTGTCCAAAAACCTTGGACAAATTACCATCATTAAAAAAGTCAACATTTATCATTATAAATAATATCTAGCAAGGGAAAGTATGACAAAGGTATATCTAGTCAAACGTTGATTGTACTCTTTTCTGTGTCACATGTTTAGCACATGCAAGGACAGGAAGTGGCAGTGCACCCATGAACAGTGCCTGGGAAGCTGTTCCGTTTATGGGAATGGTCATCACACATCTTTTGATAACAAGCATTTCACCTTTAGTGGAACTTGTGAATACACATTGGCTCAGGTACATATTTACTGTTTTAAAATAATACAGAATGAAATGGAGTTTGCTGAGTTGATAATCATGGCATGTGAGCTGTGAACATAACTATTGCTACCTGTCAAAGCAGAACTTGCACCAAAATTCAGGGTCCATTTTTATTGTAGTCCTTTTACAACCGCCTTTATGAAATGCTGGCACTCCTGAGCTCACCTAGACAAGGTTGATGTCCATGGACTTTCTCCCAGAATTCTGGGAATGCTGAGGAGCCGAAATCTCACAAGATGTTTTCTCCTTCACATTGCTGAAGTGAGTTTTCATGAGATTATGGCTCTTTAGCATTCCCAGTACCCCAGGAGAAGGCCCAGCGCTGCCACCCCCACGTAAAGGAAGCAGCCAAAAGCCACAGTGTAAGGTGAGTATTTTTTATATTTTCCTACTGTTGTATTATTGTTGATGATTTAATAAACTAATTCCTAAAAATACATATTATTCTTTAGATCGGTGGTGTTATTTAAAGTCCATTTCCACCTTTGTAAGTGATTAGTATTTAATGTGGTAATGCAGAGGTACAGTGATGATATATACGTGTGGATATTTTCATGACTCACATGGCAGGCTTTCTTCATTTTTTATTAACTTTTTATTAGGCCTAAATACTACAAATCAAAAATGTTCTCCACAAGAAACTGTCTAACACTGGAGACTGCACACAATACACTTTGGGGGAGGGGGTGTCACTATGAATACTAATGAATGGGGGGTGGAAAACTCAGAAAGAGCTCAGTTGTAATATACAAACATTGCTTGCAAAACACAGAGGAAGAGGTAAGCTAGCAAACAATGCAAGTTTCTGTGTTCATATACAGCAACTGCAGATGCCAGCTTCATGTACACTCTGTGAACATTGCTGGCGTATGTTTTTTTTGTTTAAAGGTGGAAATGGGCTTTAAATCTGAAACTGAATTTATTCTGTTGCTGCTGCCTGACTTGTGTAACATGGAATCTCATTACTTGCTATGGGTTGCTGCACCTAAAAGTGGACTTTTCAGTAACTTTACAATTTGGGTTTACCTGTGTCCGATATTTGTGAGCATAACCAAAAGCTGCAGAGGCAACAGGATTTACATAATTGTGTCATCTCTGAGTCACATCGCAATCCAGGAAGTAGATTTTGGTCCCAGGTAATCCCTGAAAAAGAAGACTTTGACTTTCCGGTAAAAACAAATTAGAACAGCGTATTGTTATGGGGACTACAGTGATCTCTGTGAGGGGTAACAAATATCCATAAATACATTTTATACTTACACATTACATACATACCATCACAACAAAAATATATCTGCTGCTAGGTCCACTTTAAGAGTACAAAGAATGTAAAAAAGATGAGAGTGCCACTATTGTGATCAAAGCCCAATATGTCTTTATTTATAAGGTTAGAATAGAAAGCAAATGCAAAACACACATTAATACTTATTAGTATATCCCATAACTATAAAAAGTGTAAAAAAAAAATTTCAAGTCAGCATCCTAAATTGATAAGATAACTAGAAAAGTTGGATATATTGGTTGCAGAAATATTGTTTATTTCTGTGACCTGTATATCTGATTTTGCTGGTTATGTTATCAGTTTATAATATTGATTTGAAACTCTGATTTTTTATACTTTTTATGATTATAGGATATGCCCATACCTATTAGGAATCTTGCTAAAGTTAATCTTTTAATTTTTTTAACACCTTAGTGATTATTGCTCATTATATAGAACTAAACAAGAGGGGTTTTCCAAAACACAAGTCTTTTTATTTGCTCCTGCAGGGCAGCAGAAAAAGGTAAACATAAATATTTGCTTATCTTCGGCACAAATGACAAAACAAAAGATGTCTCACCGACTGGTTGTATAAAGTCCCAGACTTGGAGAATCCCTTCCCAGGAATGTTAGTCCTGCAGCCCAGCACAATAGCACAGTAGGCACAACGATGCAGCAATACAGCAGCGTCCTCACATTCACACACAGCTACCGCTGACGACTTCCCCCTCAACTCCCACCCTCCTCTTTGGGAGTTACTGACTTTTTAAACCCCATCCTGGGGCAGGAAGGTTAACCCTGTGGCTGTCCTTAAAGTGACTACAACCCAAATAGGGGTGATACATATCACCCATCCAGGACACTGCCTTGCCGTCCTCTACAATATATAAATATATACAGGTGAAACTCGAATAATTAGAATATCGTGCAAAAGTAATTGCAGTAAGTTCTGCAAAAGGGGCCCAAACCAAGTACTGAGTACATATGCATGCTTGTACTTTTCAGAGGTCCGATATTGTTCTATGTACAATATTTGGTCGATTACATAAAATATATACACAAATATATTTATATATTATGTTCTGTACTGTATTTATACTAGCTATTGGCTCTATTTAAAAACTAGCATCTTTTACTGTGTTATATGTTGTCTTATTCTTCAGTACTGATAAATGGGGGATTTCTGTTCTCTGACACACGTCGCATTCCACTTTCAACCCCTTGTCACGTGAAATAGAGACTTAATGGGAATTGATCAGAGAGCTACATGTTGAATTTGTATTTCAGACCCCTCATTTCCCTTAATTCAGACCCAGCTCTCTACCAAAACATCTACTGTTACACTTTACAAATATGTCTTTATTGAATAAGGTAGTTGATAGCTAGTTGAAGATTTTCTTTCTACTTATACTATGATATTGACTGCTAATTGAATTTGTTCACAGTATTTTGTATTTTGCTTGCACACAGCTTGTTCATAATTCATAAAATAACTGTTTCAGTTCTGAATGTAAAAATATTTTTCACCCTTAGGATAACTGTGGTGAGGCTATGGGTCAAAGCTCCTTCAGAGTCATCGTGCAGAATGTTCAGTGTGGCTTTAATGGTACAATATGTTCCAAAACTATTAAAATCTTTCTTGGGGTAAGTAATCAGATTAAAATAAATTTCATAAACCATCAATCAGTCCCCAATGCAAATTTCTGTAAATTATTAAGTTTTTCATTGGTGGGTGAACAGAGTGAACACCAGTGTATGTAAAATCCTCCTGTGCTGGGTAGTAAATTTGTACTATTTGAGTTAGTGAATGCTACAGGTGTTTCTTTAGATTCCTTCTATAGGAATCTAAAGACAAAACTTAGTGAATAGAGTAGTGAGGGGTAAGGACCACTGTCAGGTTGTTATTGCTATTTGTGTCCACGATGGGGAGATTCACCCTCTCTATATGTCTCGGTAACCATTGTCACCAAAGTCCTTTGTGCCTGTTATCAGTTTAGTTGCCCTTCCCTGCACTCTCCCCAATTCCCCAATGTATTTTTTTGTGAACTGGTGCCCAAAACTGAACTGCTTTTCCAGATAAGGTCTTGTACTGAGCAAGTTTAATAAGGTTGTACTGAGCAAGTTTATGCCTCTCTCTCTCTGGAGTCTATACCCATTGTATTACAAGAAACTATTTTGCTTGCTTTAAACACTTCAACTCGGCATTCTGCATTTTAATTAGGTCTATAATCTACTATATTAAGTCTAGGACTTTGCAGCCACAACCCGACTAGAAAATCCTGTTCCCTGCTAGCATGCTACAGAAAAGGACCCTTACTCTACTGTTCGGCCTATTCTCATAGATGCCGAACACCAGTGAGTGAATAGGTGAATGCTGCCGAGCGGCATTCGGCTCGGCTAGTCTGCCCGGTACCTCTGTGGTACCGAGCAGAATAGAAAAACAGTTTAAAAAGTAGTTAATAGAAAAACAGTTAAAAATAAAATAGAAACGATTGGGTGGAGCTAGCAGTGACAGCTAGCTCCGCCCAACTGTTTTCTATTGGCCGGACGGTTCTGCTGCAAAGTGAAATAGCCAATAGGGATCCAGCTATGCATTCCTATGCTGGCTTTTTTTTTTTTCTGACTGAGGGCGGCCAGCGCCCCATGTCAGAAAAAAAACAAACAGATCACAAGGAAAGATTTACTCTGCTCGATCGAGCAGTGTAAACCTTTCCGGGACTCCCAGAGCATCCGTGAGAGTAATGACAGATCAGCGTCCCTGGTTACCGGGTAACCAGGGACGCCATCTGTCATTACACACTGAGAACACGGAGAGGTCGTTGTGATATCATAGCGGCCACGCCGGGTTCTCAGTGTGCAATGACAGATGGCGTCCCTGGTTACCTGATAACCAGGGACGCTGATCTCTGCAAGTGGTGGAGCCAGCCGTTAAGTTCTGGCTCCGGAAGTTCGGCCAGCTTCGGCTTTCACCTCGGCTCAGTGGAGCCGCGGCATATGCCTTCGGCTCGACTGAGTTGCTCGGCCAACTTCGGGAGCTGTACGGGCTATAGTGAATAGCCCGTACAGCAGCCCCTCAGTTCTTCTGAACCGAAGGGGTCCTGGGGCCGAAGCTAGCTGAAGGATCAGCCGAAGCTACGGCTAGATCCTTCCGCAGCTTAGTGAATAGACCCCTACATGTGGAAGCAGTGATGCAGATGTCTGACACGCCCCCTACTGAGTCAAGCCTATAGCTCTGCAATCACTAAAAATCATGTACCCTGATAATTGGAGAGTTCTAGACTAGTGTCTGGTGGAAGAAAGCTAACATAATGAAGTTGCTGCTTTGTAAATAATCTCCCTAGTTTCACACTAATATTTTTGCATGTTGTAGTGTCCAACAACCTTGCTACCACAGTCCTCATCCACTTGCAATTTTATAACTGTATGTAATGGACTGTTTGGATATGTAAAATTTTTGTATCTGTCAGGGGGAAGAACTTCGTCTTGACAATGAGAAGATTGAGCTTGTAAAGAGAGAAGAAAAGAACAGAGTTCAGTATGAAATTATTCGTAGAGGACTCTACCTCATTTTAAAGACCAATAATGGGCACTTTTTCATGTGGGACACCAAGGCTGCCATCCAGATAAAACTTAGCTCTGACGTTAAGGTAATCAATTAATTTTGATTTAACTGTTATGCTGTGCCACCTGTTTGGTAACACAAATAACTAAACCTCCACTATTTGAAAGCATGGAACTGTTTGTTTAAGAACCCTTTGGCTGTGCCTCCACTCAGCCAGGTCTTGTAGCTAAGTGGCCAATTGAGAAGTTTTTACAATTACTATCCCAGGGTTATGTAGAATTCCTGTTTATTAAAGTGAGTAGATTATGTGGCTCTTTGGGTGGGGTGCCAATGTGACCATGTTTCTATGGTTGTAACATAAAACATGGTCTAAAAGGTAAACTTAGCTTTGAATGCTCCTCTGTCTTCTTCACACTAGACTACAGGATCTAATAAGATGTCAGAGCCTCTAGAGGTTACTGTGTCGTCTTCACACTAGGATGGAATCTTTAATAAGACTTAAGGGCCTCAACTGCCTTTGTGCCAGTTGTCTTCAGCTTCTTTGCTCACCTATCCCCCTGGCCAGTAGATATGTCTCAGCAGTAATAATCTCTTCAGCCCCTTCTTATCTAATAGATATATACATTTATATTATATTTTGTGCATTTTGGACCTTATATGAAACAGTCTACTGAGTAAGACAGAACCAGTTCCTGTAAATTTGTTCACACATTTTTTCAGTTCTGACAGTAATAAACCCTCTCTCTATCTGAAGGCTAAAAGAGAATTATGGGGTGAGTGAAAAACACTCATCCCCATTATTCAAGCTGACCTTTGACACTGAAGCTGTCACAGGTTGGCTCTATTAATTGGGAAGTCAGCAAACACATACCACCGATCGCTGACTTCCTGATCCTCTCCCTGCAGAGAATGGTGACTGTCAGTCACCACTCCCCACAAGGATTCCCCCCCTCCCCTCTCAATTTCTCTAGTGCTGACTGGAGAAACGGACGGGGAGGAAGCGGGCACAGCTGGCTTTGCTTCTAGAGAGGCAGAGCCAGCTGTCAATCAGTCAGCGGGGTGGATCTCGACAGTATTGTCGGGATCCGTCCCGGCTGCGGCACGGCTCTGCGCTCTCAGCATATAGCAGGCAACTGGCATCCATTTCATATTGCTCCAATTAGCAGAGAATCTGTGCACAGATCCCCTGTTAATCAGAGTGGACAGGAGTCAAAGTTTTTACTTTTTCTGAACAAACAGTAATATCACTCTAAAACAAGCCCTCATTCACCTCTATAGCTATAATACTTGAGGATAAACTATTTTTCAAAGTTCACAACAGATTATTCTATTTTTTTATGAGGGCATCATCTTGGCGGGCTGCCAGTTCACTAATGTAAAGACACAGAGAGTGATTCTAAGCTATTAGGCCCCTTTCATGCTCACGTTCTGTCTGGATTGGTCTGTCAGTTTTTCAGACAGATCCACACTGATGCCCAATTAATGTCCAACAATGTAAAAAGATGGGCATTTGTTTACATCCACAATGCCCCGTGTATTTTGGACTCAACAGACCTTATTGAATACTCTTATTAAAAAAAATTATTACTATTCACCACAATAAGCGGTTTGTGTAGTCTCAGAAGTCTTTTATTTATTCCAATCAATGTGCATAAAAAAGGAGGGGAGGGGGGGATTTTTAGATTGTAAGCCCTCATGGGCAGGGCTCTCCTTGCCATCTTGTCTTGAATTGTATTGTGATTGTATTCCTTGTATTGTAAAATGCTGCACAAATTTGTGGCACTATATAACTCCTGTATAATAATAATAATTTATCAAAACTGGAGCAGACAAAATCTGGAGCAGATGTGCATGGCAACCAATAAGCTTCTCTCTTCAGTTTGTTTAGTTAATCTTTGAAAATGAAAAAGAGACGCTGATTGGTTGCCATGCACAGCTGCTCCTTATTGTGTCTGCTCCAGTTTTGATAAATTCTCCCAATATATTTTTAAAAAAAGGTGGTTGCTCATAAAAAGTTTTTTCACCTCCTATACCCAAATCAACCTGAATTTAATTGTCTTTTATTTCAGATATCAAGTAACATCCAACTCTGATATTTTTAATCACATAAAGATGTACTCTCTTCCTATTTGGAAGAAACCCAGCTGCTTCAATAGTCTATCTCTCTCTAAACATGTGTAACAATCCTGTTTATAAACGCATTCACTTATCAATTTAAGAACAAATCACATGAAGCATATGTTCCTTATCAAAAGAAGAAAGAGATAGCTGCATAGTCTTCAGAAAGGGGAGGATGGTTGTATTAGAACACCAACCCAGATTTCTTATATGTCTAACAGTTCATTTTGGAAAATAAGGGATATCTGCCAGGTAATGTCCAATAAAATCCATCCAGCAAAATATAGTACATAGGGTTAATCTTGGTTGAACCTCCTGGAAATGGGAGTCATATGCCCCACACATTGCAGTAAAATGCTTGTCACAGTTATATCACTCCATATGCTGTACATTCACCATATTCCAGTTTCTCCTAGTCATAGAACATTGGCAGGTGTTTCAAAATTGTGCTTTGCTGTTTTGAAAAAGTCATCCAAGGGGTTAATAACACAGTTCAAAGTCCATCATCCCCTCTTTCATTCAACCACACATTGAATCCTTTAATCCTCTATTTATGCATGAATTATGATTCAAGTACCTGAGGAATCACATATCCACTTGATAAACATCAAATAGGTATAAATACATACTTAGCGCAGTTCACCAACTGTCCATCAGAAGAGCTGGATTTCCAAATGTGGATCCATACGGGTGAAAAATTGCCTTAACCAGTCACAGCACACTGGTCACGCCAGATGCATCATAGGTGCGGCCCTCCTTGAAGACTATACATCTATCCTTTTTTTATTTTCTATCAATTTACAGTAAACTCCCCATTATCCAGCATTCAAGCAAGCCAGTGGCTTGATGCACACTAAAAAATTGTTGGATGCTTAGTGCACACTAAAAAATGTCATTAGCAACCAAATTTATTTAGTTGCTATAGAAATTATTTGTTTACATCTTGCTGCCGGCCATTGGCTAGAATCCATGGTTGGCAGCAGAATGTAAACAATGAGGAGCAATAGCTAGCCTGCTATTGGCTATTGCAAATTGCCCACACAAAAGAAGAGTTAGCAAGTTTATTAAGGAAGCCATCATAAACTATATTTTTGCTTATATCCCTTTGTGTGTTCAGTAAAATGAGGCATTCCAGAATTCCTGTCCAATACAAGATCTTAAAGAAAAGCATTGGGAGAGTAAAATATACCCTTCTTAATACTTAGAGCCAGCATGGGACATTGCAGCTGTCACACACTGGCTGCTAACTTTGGGTCCCAAGTTAGTAAATATTAGGGATGCACCTGACCATCAGCTATGGAGGACTACAAATCCCAGTAATACATTATATAGTAATGCCGAATAGCAAACGGCTATAGAGGACTACAAATCCAAGCAATACATTACACAGCAATGCAGAATAATATGAAGATACATACTCTGTGCTGCTCCGGGGTGATGGCCTGATGTCTCCAACAGAGGATATCAGTAGGGCTGTGCAGGGTTTCAGGTGGGCTGTGGAGGATCTCAGGAGGGTGCGAGATCTCAGGGGGGCTCTGTGGGTCTCACCAGGGCTGCTGCGGAATCTCACCAGGGATGTGCAGGGTCTCACCAGGGCTGTGTGGGGTCTTTTTTTTTTATTAAACAAATGTTTTTATTCTGTTATTGCGGACAACCCATGTCGGGTAAAACCACAACTTACCAAGATATTCAATACAAATAATACGAGGTTTTCTCAAAACTACCTCGACAGTTGCACCAGAAATAACATCTTTCCAACTTTCGCAACATTCCCGTGCTGGTTGCCCCATATGTGACGGTATGTGTTCGCTCACTTCCCGATCTATTGAGCTGACGTGTGACAGTTTCATTGTCACACTTCGGCTCGAACTATGAGGTTGTGAATGAGGCCTTACTGTACCCTGGGATATAGTGCTTTCATTTTTAGTCAGTCAGTTATCCGGATTAGATCAGGCTTTTCTGGATCAGTTGCTAAATAAGATGTGTTGCCCATCTAAATCCCAGAAAACAGTATTACCAATCCAGTCCAGAAGTGAGTGACTGAACCCATGTGCCCCAGGATAAAGTGTTTTAATTTTTAGTCCATCCATTCTTCAGATTCATTTAAGCTATTCTGGTTTACTTGCTAAACAAGATGTTCATCCACCCTTACTAGCAAATTTAATTACCAGTCCAGCATATGTTTTTTTTTAATTATTTCAGTGAGTCAATTATTTAGCTTTGTTGAGCTTTTCTTTGTTCACTTTCTGAAGAAGATGGCTGCACACTGCCATGTGTCTCTTACTCCCTGGATGCCTGGCCCACACAGCCAGACAGATCAGCAGCACCTCTTACATTAGTTTCCAGGACATACCTGCACAATTTGGGGTTTTTTGGGGCTCCAGAGGGTACTGATGGTATAAGGAGCTCAGATGGTCTGAAGTTGACACTTACCTCTGATATTACCAACATCACTACCTAGCAACACAGAGGCAGCAGATCAGAGTGTGAGTTGCAACCAGGTGGCAATGGCCAGTCATGTTAAGAAATTGCTTAATTTCATGTGTACAGTAAAGATTGATGGAAATGGCGTGACTGGGGGGCCTAGGATGGAATTAACGGTAGGAATGACATTGACCCTGTGATGCCAACTGTGGGCAAAATTACAAAGTGATTTACCAGATTTATCAACCTATGTATAAGAGTGCCCTACTTCCTAATTCAATTTTGTTTTCCTATTCTTGTCTCAAAATATAGGGGAAGGTATGTGGCATCTGTGGAAACTATGATGGTAATGCAAAGAATGATTTCACTACAAGGAGTCATTCAGTAGTGGAGAACTTGATGGAATTTTACAATAGCTGGAAAACAGACCCAAAGTGCCCGGATGTGCATGATGTAAGAAAACCTTGCTCCATAAACCCATATAGGAAAGCCTGGGCAACAAAGCAATGTGCAATTATAACCAGCAATGTCTTTCAACCTTGTCACTCTCAGGTAAATTACTTAATATTTTTTTAAATTGCTAACTCTTTTATAACATGTTGGCCATATATGTAATCCTTTAGTATTAAAACAAGTTAAAAGAAAACAAACATTATATTCTAATAATACCAGGAGAAAGCAGTATACTACTTCCTGCAATACAATACTGTCCAAATATTGCTTAAGAAGGTGTAGTAACACAGTCTGTTCCAATACTGCTTTTATACAGACAGAGGGCTTGTGAGTTTTCAGCAAAATGTTGGGACACCTGTAGGAATTGTTAGCATAAACTTTTAAGGCTTAATTTACTTACATTGCTGAAGAACAACTGTGAGGTGTTAACCCATTACTTCTTCCCTGAAAAATACCTTTTTATATGGGAAATGTACATTATTTTACAGTTTTTGTTAACATAAACTGCTTACCTTTGTACTATTTCAGGTATTCACTGGACATGAACTGCTTATATTCCAAAAAAAACTGGAAAAATGGGAGTGCCCTAAAACATTTGACCTGTAATATATACATATTATATAGATATATCTATATCTATAGATCTATAGCTATAGATATCTATCTATCTATCTATCTATCTATCTATCTATCTATCTATCTATCTATCTATATATAAATAATATACTCTATATATAGATATCTACAGTATATACATTTGTTTTTCTTTTAAAGATTGATTTATGACATGTGAGAACTAAAATTTCATTACTGACACTCGGTCCTAAACAATGTTTATGTCCCATCCTGCCTCTCTTATAGCCTTTTCTTATACTATGGGCACTGGAAAACTATACAGTGTTGTTTCCTTAGTGTCAACTGAAGTAGAAGGCATCTAAGGGAACTTTTAACTATGAGAGAACTTTGTCATACTGCACCTACAGGACACCACCTAAGATTGTCACTTTTCCCAGTTGTAGAAACAGTCCTGATAAATGCAGCAATGGCATGAATTATGTAATTTTCAAAAAATACACGAGCACTAGGGGCAGAAATCTTGAAGTCAGTGCTCATTCAAGAGAAAAAAACATTAGCGACTGTGAAAAAACATTCCCATGAGGTCTGCCAAAGAGCCGTTGATGGTTTTGCTTACCATGCTTTCTAAATTACGATACTTCCATAATATGTTCATCTGGGCCCTACTATTACATGTTCATCTGGGCCTGTTTTGCTTCATTTCACTTGGCCCATAGTACATGTCACACCCATAGATTTTTGTAGTATTTGTAAAGCACTCAGGTACAGAACAAAAATGTTGAACTTTAGAATTAGGGTCTTCTCAAGTGGAGCACAAAGGTGGCTGATGCATGCTAAACTCTTGTACACTCAAGTCCTTTGTATAGCCCTCTTATTCTTTTGCATTCCAGATAATAGGATCTTACATTAATTGAAAAATCACATAATACATGTGTATTTCTACACCCAGATGGACTCTTGTATACTCAAGACATTTGTATAGCCCTCTAATCATTTTGCATTACAGATAATAGAATCCTACATTATTTGAACAATTACATATTACATGTGTATTTCTACACCCAGGTGGACCCCACCATTTATTATGACTCTTGCATCAGTGACTCATGTTCTTGTGATGCTGGCGGAGATTGTGAATGCTTCTGTACTGCAGTTGCAGCGTATGCTCAGGCCTGTAGTGAGAATGGAGTGTGCATAAGATGGAGAACGCCAACAATATGTCGTAAGTGTCACCATATAGTGTTGTGTTTTACATTTACTGAATGTTGTGGAAGAATGATCTCAACTGTTCACTGAAGGGGTGGTATTAAAATATAATTCAAAACAATTCCAATTCAGAAAAATGTTCTGATCAGAACATAGTTACCTCAGCTCAGTTTCCAACGATCTTCTGAAAATAGTATAGTGTTTAATTTTATGTTTTTGATACAGAGATATAGATGCATGTTAGGGTTCAGCACTGGGTGTACGGTGCTAGGTGTCATTCAACCAAAAGGTGAAGGAATATAGCATCACTGAGCTGGTAAGTCTGCAGGAGACAACGTTAAAGAGTAGGTGACTATAGCAGGCAAAACTGATTTCTTTTAAAAACATGCCAGGGACTTATGCTTGTTTTTTATGCCCAAACTGGAGTAAGGCTTTAAGAAAGAATAAAGCCTGATCGTCAAATTCCTTACAGCTGTACATCAGCCTTTTTTAGGCCAGATGTCAGACTTTGCCTGATAATATTTATATATAATTTGCACATTTGCTGTATCATCGCAAAGAGGCTTCACAGCCCTCCAAGGTATTTTTAAAGAATATTAAAAAGTTTATTTTGTATAGGTGAAGAGACCAGGAGGGATTAAGTAGTTTTAGCGAAAGACAAATGGGCAGAGATGCCAACACTTAGTCCACAAAAAAAAAATAGTTTTTAATTTTACCACAATTTTCCTATCTTGTATAGCTGCATGGCAACACACTCATGGGTTATTCCTTCCCTCCTCTGACCAATCAGAACCATAACTCATAAATTTCCTGAGATTGCTCTGACCCGCCATTACGTAACTAGCTGACTAGACAGGTGGGAACTGTGCTGCCATGGAGCTAGACAGGAAAGAAAAATTGCGGTAAGTATGAAAAACTATTTTCCGGTTTTCCTGTCAGCTCCATGTCAGCACACTCATGGAAAATAACTCACTACTACCAGGGAGGGAATGCTGAAACCAAACTTTAATCCTACCCGGAAGCAGAAGAAATGACCCTGCACCCAAACTCAACAGTATTTAAGACAGCTGGATCTACACAGTAATGGGACATGAATGGTATGTACAGAGGACCACATGGCTGCTTTACAAATCATGTCCATAGACACCCGACTTGCCACAGCCCAGAATGTTGAGACACTCCAGTGAGATTATATCCCATCAGGAACAGCCAATCCTTTGTATTTATAGATCAGAGCTATAGTTTTTACCACCCATGACAAGATGAGTCTACTCGACACCTTGGGAGCTTTCTTGACTGCCGAAGGCAGGATAAAGAATTAGGCCCTGCACAAGAAGGTTACGCAAATGTGGCAGTAGAATGGGTGGCCCTATGGTCTACTGGTGGAGAATGGGGTACCAAGGTCTCTTGGAGCAATTGGGAATGACTGCAAGAATTGTCACTTTCTATGTCTGAACAAACAGCAAAATGTCTAAAGTCTACTCAGAAAGCTGAGAATAAGTGACACCGGCGAAAAGGAATATGCTGTCTGAAATGGCAACTCTGCTATTAGGGAATCCAAAACCACCACTTGTGGGCAGGGAAGTCTTGAGTAGAACATCCTCAGTTTGAAATTGACTGGGGATGCAAAGAGATCTACTTGAAGACAAAGTGCTCAATCTGTTAGGCTTTAAAAAATCATGGTAAGAGGCACCACTCGTTGTTTTCCAGCTGAACACTCCATACATAATCTGCCTGGAAACTGAGATGACCTGGAACATACACTGCTGAGAGATGGGGAAGGTTGGATTGTTCTCAGTCCATTCCTTTTGCGAGAAAGGACCAGTGACCTTGAGCTACGTGACCTAAGCAACTGCCCCCCCCAACCTCTTTCACTAGCATCTGTCTGGATTACTGTCCAAGATATTGGCAGGAGAGAATGGCAATGTAGAAGGTTCTGTTCATGGAGCCGTCACCTGATACTGTCCTTCATTGGAGACGTGATATGAATTAACTGATCGAGGTTTCCCATCTTCCATTGCATCAGAAAACCACTATGAAATGGGCGAGATCTCCATTGAGCCCATTTGACCATGGGAACTGTGGCCACAATAGTGCCCACAATCTGCAGCCATTGATTGGCTGAGAGGGATTCTACCAACATAGCTGCTGACAAATGCTGCTGAATGACCAGAATATTTTTTGGTAATTTTATTTATCCTGGCCCCTAAATACCCTACATCTTGTGTCGGTGTGAGACGACTCTTCCCTTGATTGATCAGACATCCAAATTGCTCCAGAGTCGAGACTACTAATGCAAGATGGACCTGTAACGTATCCCGACTTTGATGTAAGAGTAGAATGTTGTAGAGATAATGCTAAATGTGCACCCCTCTCTCTCTTCAAGCATGGTGACAAGAGCTAGAAGAACTTTAGTGAAGACCCTGGGGGGTGTTTTAAGTCCAAAAGGTAGGCAGACAAATTGGAAATGCAGTTGAGCAGAAGAAAAATGAAGGAACCTATGAAAGATGGCTGTATTGGAATATGGAAATGGGTGTCTTTTAAATTGATGGAGAGAAGCCAGTCTGCTGGCTAAATAACTTTCAAGATTGTTTGTAAAGACTCCATCCAGGAATGTTCCTTCTTTATATATCTTTTCAGGCATTTCAATTCTATCACTGGCCTCCAGTCTTCAGTTCTCCTTTGTACTAGGAAGAGAGGCAAATACAAGCCGGAGAAATGTTCTTGGTGAGGAACCGCCAACAGGGCCCCCTTAACCAATACATTCTCTACAGGATCTCCTTCTTGGTACTGCTCAATGGAATTTTTTCAGAAGAAAAAAAAAAACACATAACCAAGTATCCCTTTAAGAAGACCCATCTGAAAGCAGGAATTCAAGCCTGAAGATGTTCCGCAATTCAATAGCCTCTGAAGGGCTGCACCACACAACACAGCAGCATAGACCATGGCTGATTTGTCAATTGAGAGCCCTGATTGGCTTGAACCGCACATGCACCATAGTACGGTCACTACTCCAGGCTCCATGCATTCCAGCGGCAGGAAGTGACGCCGCTCACATGGAATGCACAGCGTGCCTTCCACACACATGTCACTGAGATGCGGCTGCAGGACCAACTCCTCCTTAACATTGCTGGCTCCCCTGTGAGCCCCACTGTATGAGACTGCCCCGAGGACCAGTAGCAGGGCTCCCTGCTCCTAATCCTTTAGGCAGGCTTAAAGGGACCTCACCCCAAACGGTATTGTGCCGAAACGGACATCAAGGGGTTTACCCTCACAAGGTAAGCATACTGCTCAATGCAATCCTGTGAAAGGAGGAAAAAAGAGGAACGGTAGGTCGGAGCTATCTCATAAAATGTATGAGTTATGGTCCTGATTGGTAGGAGGAAGGAGGAATTAACCCATGAGTGTGCTGCCATGGAGCTGACAGGAAATGTTGTTTGATGTCAGCCCAGAACAGAACCTAAGATCTGAAGTCATTTTTGGCACATCAACCGGTATTTTTTCTGTACTTTATAAAACCTTTTTTAGTCCTGAGCTTAAAGAACTTTTCACCCCAACTGCTGTTCTGAATTAACAAAGACAGTCAAGACAGTATTGATAAAGTTTCACTGTGTTTCTATAACCTTTATCAAGTATTAATTTCAAACACTAAAATAATATATATACATTGTACCCAAAATGATTAACATTGTAAAACAGTGTCCACATCCAGGTGAGTACAAACAATATCGGTGTAACCTGATTTAACACATATATAATAACTGTAGAGCCAGCACACGATGATCTTCCAAAGAAATTCAAACTTTATTCCACATGCATCAATACAGAGAACAACCTCTCACGCGTTTCTGCCTTACTCACCCTTAGTCATAGCTGGTTGTGATCTAACACCAGCCCAACTAAAATAGGACGCCACACAGGGCGGGGAGAAACACTTAGGAGCACCTGTATCTAATAAACAGCCCACATAATTACATTAAAGACAAAGCAGAGGAAAAGAAGAATACACAAAGACACATGATAGTGGTGAGATGTACACTTTGTGTTTAAAGTAACCCAATCTCCCACATCTATGTGATCAAATCCAGTGAAAATGAACTATCCAATCTTGGAAGTATTGGAAAAAACAGAACAAAACACACGTTTTTCCCTAAACCTTATGCACTTACCAAAAGCTGTTGACCAACTTAAAGAGGAATTTTATTCATATCTTCAAAATAGCAACAAATACACCTTTGGAAATGTTTAGTGATGACAATCTACAAACAGATACTTGTAGATAATTGCAGGCTTTTTATTCTTTGCATACCTTTTTCTGTTCCTCTCCACTCTTCTCGTAGTGGTCATTTTTACTATGGGCAGATTAATCCATCTCTCGATACTTCCTGGAACTCTGGCACATGTGAGTAGGATGTGTGACAATGCACATCATCTCAGGGGAGGAAAATGTCTCTCCCTATGATCTCAAGAGATTACAGATTAGATTTCACGGCAATGCCTGCTGATGTAACCTTCCCAGGATGCAACACTTGAGCACATTACATCACATTTACCAAAGAGAATCGGTCGTAGAAAACAAGAAATTGTAAGTAAAATGAGAATATGTTTGTTTAACTAATGAATTTTTTTTTTTTTGAAAAACATTTTTATTGGTTTTGTCAATGAAAAACAGAAGAAGTATCATGTTACAGCGTTGCTTATTCCGCATAGTCAGATAACAACTAGTGTAGGCAGTACATCGATATCTAGGTGATACAAAAGGTATGAAACAGCCATATATAAAAGTATTGCATAAATCAAGGTATGACTAGCCAGTGAGGCTTTGTACAAGAAACCTAGATGTGATATAATGATAAGGGCGATAGCCCGGGTGAATGCCATAAAGAAAACGTAAACACAAACATAAGCAAGCTTGAGAACAAAAACAATAAAACAAAACAAACAAGCACATGCTCTACATTGCGTCTAGTAATTGTGGTATAAAATTCAGATGTCGTATCCCTGTCCCCGAGTCCTATAGTTAGATCGGCTTATTTTATTTCCTAGGCACACCTAATCGGCAGTGACACGATGTAACTCCAGTGTCTATGCTATACTAACTAATGAATTTAAGACAATTTCATATCAGCATGTAGAGCTGCATGCTGATGTGACTTTTAGCCAAAGGGGTAAAGGTCCGCTTTAAGTATTTAAATAATAAGATTTCCTTCCAAACCTACAAAAATAGAACCCACTGGATTTTCTCCAACGAAAAACTCTCTGCACGCCTAACTGACCAAATGCCGAAGTTTGAAAAGATATGGGAACCCTGGATGAAACACTTCCTCCCACCAACCTTTAATGCCCGCTTACTGACCCTTTAACGCCCTTTAACACCCTTTAAACACATTTATTCTAATCACGACTCCCC